CGAGGGGCCTCCTAGCCATGTCCCAGTGGCCCGGTTTCGAAACTGGGGATGCAACCCCATACCCTGCCAGCTACACAGACTGCTGTAAGCAGCAGGGACGCAGCGGCTTTGTTTGAAAAGTGTGTGACCTGGAAACCACAGTGACAGGTGGTGTGTTAGTCACTTTCCTATCGCTAGGATAAAATAACCAACACCCACAACTTAAAGCAGGAGAGGTTTATTTTAGCTCATGCTTTCAGCCTGTGGTCTGTTGGCTCCAAGGCAGAAACGGCAAGGTGGTAAAGCAAGGCAGAGGAAAGCTGTTCATCCCGTGGCAGCCAGGAAACAGAACAAGGGAAGAGCTGAGGACAAGAATGTGCCCTCCTAGGTCACCTTCCCAGTGGCTGCCTCCAACCAGGCCCTACCTCCTGCCAGCACATTCAGCCACAAACTCATCAATGGATGAACCCACTGAGGAGTTACAGAGCCCACATAATCTAGTCCCCTTCCACACCCAGGAAGGGGGGGCACTTTACATGTAAACCATAACAGGTGGACAGCCACCTGCCAGGGCCTTGGGCTGCAGGAGGCTCTCCAGTGAGCAGAGGACACGAAGCAGGGCTGCACACAAAACCCAGAAGGAACGCAGACCACCTCCGATTCTGGAGAAGGCTGTGAGGAACCGGAAGCTACTGGCCTAGAACTCTGGTTTTCAACCAGGCGCCTGGAAGAGGAAGAGACGGGAAGGAATGGGGAGAAGACAGGAAGATGGGCTCACAGCCCCCAGCAAAGTGGGATTTCCGTGTGCTGCTCCCCTGTCATAGGTGTCCTTACAGGATCGGATAGGATCACTCCTGCCTCTGTCCAGTCCTGCTTCACAGGGTGAGGGAGACAGCCACCTGGCAAACCTGAGATTTCACACACAGTGATGCCTCATCCTAGGTGAGTGGCCATGCTGTGCCCCAGGCACAGATGGCACACATGGTGGGTGCCAAGACAGGGAAAGGGACAAATGACTGAGGTTTGGAAACCAGGGCACTACATAAGCACTCCCAAGGGTCACTGGCCTGCAGGTGACTGACACCCCAACCCCAGACCTGCCTAATTCAGGTCGCATGCATGCAGGATGTCCATGGAAATGCGTGAGTCAGATAAACAATGAGTGCTTTTTTCGTATCTGTATGCTCCATGCACTGTTTGGCACATACACATATTTTTTAAGTATTTGCTGTTTATCTGAAATTCAGGTGTCACTGGGTATCCCGTGTCTTATCCGGCAACCTCCCCAGCCACAGAGTTGCTTGGGCATTGAGTTGTTCCCTTTTGTCCCCTCCCCACTGGCCTGGACCACAGAGAAAAGCAGGCTCACAGAAGCATGCCCCTTTGCATCTGCTCTCTCTGACATGAGCTTCTTTAATTAAACTGCCGGGATGAAATACAGTGTGTAAAGGGAAAATTAAAATTGATTCCCTTAGCTCAACAAAAGGCACAGCTATGAAGGGGGCTACTTAAGGAAACAAAGCACTTGGGCATAAGAGAAGCAGCCTCGGCTCCCAGCAGCGAAGCAGGCAGTAGCCAGGGCTTGCGCCTGGCAGAGCACCGGGCAGATCTGCCACACTCACAGCAGAAGGCAGCTCAGTGGCCTGGGTGCCAGTGGGGCAGGCCAGAAGTGTGTTTCTTCTCCACTCTCAGGAAGCCCAGAGGGCCTGGGGAAGCTCTCCTTCCCTGCAGCTCTGCTTCCGAGCTTCAGAGAGGGCTGTATGGAGAGAGGTGCAAGGAGCAGGCAAGGCAAACACTAACAAAATGTCTCAGGCTCTTTGCTTTCCTTTCGTGTGCGCGCGCGTGTGCGTGTGTGTGTGTGTGTGTGTGTGTGTGTGTGCGCGTGCGCGCTGATGGGATGGAACCCAGGGCCCTCACATGCTAGCAAGTTCTCTACCCTTCAGCCACACCCCCATCCATCATCTCAAGCCCTTTACAAGGAGCTGCCTAAAGTTCTTCTGGCTCAAGCCTCTCTCCGCCAGGTTGCTCAGGAATACAGAGGGGGGCAGGGGTGAAGTGAAGTGTGTGGCACTGAGATGTGCTGACACTAGAAATCTAGAGGACAAGGCTGGGAACTCCTTTGACACCCAAGAAGAGTGAGGCACAAAAGGTACTGGGGGACTTATGGGGTCACATGGCAAAGAAGTATCCAAGTCAGGATTTGAACCTAGGTCTGCTAGTGTTTGAAACCCTTGTCCACAGTGCTTCACTGTTTCTTGGATTGGGAAGGTCACGGCAGGCTTTTAAGAAAAATGTTGGTGAGCCGGGCGTGGTGGCGTACGCCTGTAATCCCAGCACTTGGGAGGCTGAGGCAGGAGGATCGCTGTGAGTTCGAGACCAGCCTGGTCTACATACTGAGTTCCAGGTCAGTCTCAACTACATAGTGAGACCCTGTCTCAAAAACCAAAAAAAAAAAAAGAAAAGAAAAGTGTTGGTGAAATTCACCAGGCGCCATGTCTGTGGCCAGTTTGTCAGTGCACAATGAGAGGGCAGGCGCCTAGGAGCAGCGGGTAGGGACCCAGGAGTGGGCCCACAGAGTGGAGGACGTGGGGAAGACTGGATGGGACTTGATGAAGCAGCTACTCTGAGAGTAAAGACAGAGTTGCTGGTGGGGTGGGTTTTCTGGCTGCTGTGGTAGGGCTGAGGAAGGGTGGCAAGGTGGTGGTGTTGGAATAAGCTGAATTTGAAGCAACACTGTGCGGGCCCCTAACAGAGCTCCTAGCAGCAGCCCAGTGGTAGAAAACAGGTTTGTATTGGGGCCAATTTGTCCTGGGTTTGTATCCTATAGCACATCTTCATTCACTAGCTCTGTGACCCCAACCTGCAGGTTGAACACCTCTAATCTAAAAATCTAAAATGCTCTGAAATCCAATTTTGTTTTGCAGTATTTAGTACTGGACTCAGGGTCTTTACACTGAGCTACATCCTCAGCCCCCCCCCCTTTTACTATAAGTTGCCTAAACTGGGCTTGCACTTGTGATCCTCCTGTCTCGGCTTCCTAGAGTGCTGGGATTATAAGTGTGCACCACCACATCTGGCTTGAAACCCAAAACTTTGAATGCTGATGTCATGCTCCATAGATTTCAGATTTCAGACCATTTCAGATTTCAGATTTTCTCATTAGGGGTGCTCAATAGGTAAAGTATGTGCAAATGTCACAAAGCCTGAGAGGCACTGGCATCTGAAATGCTTCTGATGCCAAGCATTTTGCACGAGGGATCCTTGGCTGTGGTGCTTATCCTCCGGGAACTTCTATGCTCTCACAAGGGAAGTGGGGAGCAGTAGTGCCTCCTCCCCAGATGCTGGGGACATGTAGTTAGGAGAAGCATGTAAAGGCACTGACAAGGCTGGTGTCACCCGATCATCCGGTTGGGGTCAGGCACAGATGGGTCTGAGGTAGGAACGGGTGGGAATGAGTGTCATTTACATTCTCTGGGTGTGTTTCCACTGAATTCCCACTGTGTGGGGGCCCCGGGGACACAGTGTGGAGATGCTGGTTGGAAAACCCATGTATGGCATCAGACTGAGCTCATTTGTGACTTGTGAGCAACACAGAGCCTAAGCAGGGCAGCACAGCACCTGACACAGGGCGGGGTGGTGACGCTGGCGGTCACTCAGTTTGCAGTGCAGACGGTCCACACTGCCTGGATAGTAGATGCAAAGAGGCAGTATGCCACCCCTGAGCCCACCAGAGCCAGGGTAGAGGGGGAAAGGTATTTTGTATTTGTAAGCACCTTTTATCCTAAAAATTCCACATTGCACACAACTGCTCTAGAAGACAGACCCGGAACTAGGGTCCCATCTTTTTCCCTCCCAATCCTGTTTGTCTCAGCTTTTTCCGAGGGTGGCTTTGAAAATGCTGGTGAAACCCGTGAGCATCGATCATGTGCTGTCAGCAGGCTGGGGAGGAGAAAAGCAGCCAAAAATAGCAGGGTGGCATTTCCAGGCTGCCCTTCATGCTGGGGGCTGGGACCTCGGGCAGCCCCTTCCCACCCATGGGCCTCAGTTTCCCTACTGGGATAAGACACCCTCTCTGTGTCATCATTCCTCAGGTCCCTCTGGTCTCTGTTGCTTGTGTTTACCATGGATTTATTTTTATCAGAAGACTAGGGTTTTTTTTTTAATCCTTTCATTAAAAATGTGCTTGTATGTTTGTATTTTTTTATTACAAAATAAAACTGCGATTGTAAGAACCCAAGCAGTATGTGTTGCTTCAGTGGGAGACCAGTAGTCTCATGTATTGCTTTTTGTCTTCAGTAAATTAAAACATTGTTTGCCATTTTAAGGTGTGATAAGAACTCAGCCATAAAGAAGCAAAAAACCGCATCATTTGCAGAAAAAATGGATAGAACTCAGGACCTTCATGCTAAGCGAACTAAGCCAGGCTTAGAAAGTTAAATATCACATGTGTTCTCTCATATGAGAGACCTGAAATATAAATAAATGAATGAGAGATGATAAGAAACTAGAAGGTCAACTCTGGGAGCAGGGGAAGGGGATTAGTAAGAGGATAGGGCAGGAGGGGGCAGTGATGGAAAATGAGCAAGACCTGTTATATGGATTCCCCAAGATGAATGTTACCTTCTGTACTGCAAACACCTGTTAATAATATTTTTTTAAAAAAAGAAAGTATGCTTGAGGTAAAGACTCTCAACAGTGTAGAGGTATATAAGGAAGAAAATGGAGTCTGCTCTAATACCTCCCTGTCATCTTACCCCTTAATTCACCCGTCACTCTGGTCTCTAAGCTTATTTCTAGATCTGGGGATTTTAGGGAATGTCGTGGGGTTGGGATGGAGTTAGAAGCAAGCCCTGCCACTGCCTTGCTGTGTAGCCCTCAGGCATCCATACCACCTCTCTGGGCCTCCATGACCTCCTTGGCAGGCTGGAGGAAGAAGGATTAGGGCCAGGCTGTGAAGACCCCCGGTGTGAGTCAGGATCCTTTGAACAGCCGGGTTAACTGCTGTGCCTGGGTCTGGGCAGGTCGGGGACCAGATTCTGGAGGTGAACGGGCGGAGCTTTCTCAACATCCTGCACGACGAGGCTGTAAAGCTGCTCAAGTCGTCTCGGCACCTCATTCTGACCGTGAAAGACGTGGGGCGCCTGCCGCACGCGCGCACCACCGTGGACGAGACCAAATGGATCGCCAGTTCCCGGATCGCGGACAGCGCTGCCGGCTCTCCAGGGTCTGGCTCTGTGCTTGCACTCGGGACCCAGGGAGGGTTCTGCGAGCCGGGTGGGGGGATCCCCACCAGCACAGGTCCCTCCAGTCCAAGGGCATGACGGGGCCACGTCCCGCTGCTCTGTGCTCGTTGCCCCTAGGAAGCTGAGATGTACTGCCGAGGCCCGAGTCCTTCACTTGCTGTAGGGCAGATCACAACTCATCCTTGGGTGTTTCATCTGAAAAGTGAGACCCTAACGCTGTCCCCACCCCAGCCCTGCCAATGCCAACCCCTGAGGTTAATTTGAGCTAAGAGCCTTGGACATCCTAAAACTCGGTGCCGCTGTTGCCAGGTGACTGCGTGGTGACTGCTGTGTCACCTCTGGTCTTCTTCCGTCTCAGCCTGGTGTCTGGCGGCTTCCGGCCACATAAACCCCCACCACCACCGTCTTCTTTCTCTCCTTCCCTCTCTTCCTTTCTGTCACCACACAGTATTTTAAGTCGTTTGAAATTAGTTTCCAGCATTTTAAAAAAACACCAGGTTCCTGTACAAAACTGGATTTCTGGCATTTTTTTTTTTTAAAGCAGGAAGTCTGGCTGCCGAGCCTACATTTTTTCATGACAACATGGGCTGAGGTGGACAGAGTCCCCTGCAAGTGGTCCCTGAGGACCTCGGTGCGTCAGGCCCAGCTCCCCAGGGCAGGGTGACCCTGCTGCCGTCTCTGTTCAGAGTGCTCTCCTAAGTGCTGTTGCTCTTGGTCCTGTAGGATTGGAAACAAGGCAGCTAGCAACTCGAATGGTATTAGAATCACTGCCCGTGTTGTCGATGGGGAGGCTGGAGGCCACCTGTCTGCCCAGGGACCCCGCTGAGCCTTTCCTGGCTCAGCCGCTCCATCTGCTCAGATCCGTGCCTGAAGAGCTTGTCTCTCTCCACAGGTTTCCGGGGGACCTCACCACAGAGGGGACAAACAAGGTAAGGGATTCCTCGTCTCGTCGGGGGGTGTCCTCAGCTTCTTCCTAGCTCTCAGCTCAGGTCGCAGCCCGGGCAGTGTGCTGAGCGTGTTTCAGCCAGGCAGCTCCCTGCCCCTCAGGATTCCTGCCAGGTTCCAGCCATGGAGCCCGCTTCCGGGCTGAGGGCAGCAAACAGAACCAGCCAGGTCCCTGTCTCCACGGAGGTCACAGCCCATGAAAGAGACATCTAAAACCCAAACACGCCTTCCAACAGATAAAGTACCTACGTAGACAAGATGCCTGGTGTAGGGGCCCGTGAGAGAGGAGACAGCAAGCACAGAAGGCTCAGGAGGCCAGGGAGGACCGTGACACAGTCGGAGTGGCACATGTTAGGGCCCGAGGCAGGCAGAGCGCTTGGCTTATTGGAGGAGCTGAAGAAAAGTGAGTGTAGGGGGAGCTGGGTGTGACACGGCAGCAGGCAGGATGCTTAGCTCTCACAGGCTTTGTGGGCCACCAGAAGAGGCCTGGCTTCTAACCTGGAAAATGAATGCCATTAAAAGCCTTTTAAGCAGGGGCCACACGTGGAGGGACGGGTTTTTTTACAACAGCATTTTAGCAGCAGGCCAGGGACCTGGAGGGGACACTGATAAATGGTGTCTTAGACTCAGCTGGTGACAGGGAAGGCAATGGAGGGCAGGAGTGGGGTACGTGCAGATCTGAATCATAGTTTGGAATTGCAGGTGCTGATGTCGTCCCTGGTTTACCACGGGAGATAGCGAAACCTAGGGAATAAATGGGACCCTCTTTGACACTGCTGGCCTCTGACTGGATGCAGGGAACCAGAGGTGGCATGAAAGTGCTGTGTGTAGCTCGGCGTGGTGGGATTGAAAGTTTGAGCCCACCCTGAGCAACTTAGCAAGATTCTGTCTCAAAACAAAAATCATTTTAAAAGGGCTGAGGATATAGCTCAGTGTGAAGGCCCTGAGTTCAATCATTAGAACTAAAAAGGGAAGAGAGCAAATGAAAAGAGCACTGTGTGAGCGCTTTGCAGCTACATGAGGCCGATCGGAGACTCGGGTCATGCAGAGACCCCTGAGAGCTTTCAGAAACTGCCCCCTCCCTCTGCGGCTGCCCCCGGCTTGGCCCAGTCCCATCAGTTCAGCATCCCCAGGCCGCTGTGTTCCTGTCTTTCAGCTGGGATTTTACAAGGGCCCAGCTGGCTCCCAGGTGACCCTGAGCAGCCTGGGGAACCAGACGCGAGTGCTGCTGGAGGAGCAGGCCCGTCACGTGCTGAATGGGCAGGAGTGTGCCACCATGGCCTACTACCTGGACCAGTACCGCAGGGGCAGCATCTCCGTGGAGGCCCTCGCCACCGCCCTGTTCGAGCTGCTCAACACCCACGCGAAGGTGACCTGTACTGAGCACCTCCCGGGAGTCAGCCAAACCGAGCCAGGGCAGACACTGGGAACGGTGGTGTCCCCACCCTACCAGAGGGCGCACCAGCCCCGGGGAACACAGACAAAGGCCCCTGATTGGCCCCGGTGCTGCGTGCACATTTGGAATCATTTGGAATCATTTGGAATCACAATTGCTTTTAAAAAGCAGTTTCCCGGTGAACTCCCCCCAGCGGTCAGTCATTGTCACGAGCCCTGGGTGGCCATGCGGGGCCGCGAGCTCTGAGACCCAGCTCCAGTGGAAGTCTGAGGAAGGAGTGGTCCAGTCCATCAGGAGGGTGGACATTTGGGAAGACTTGAGAAGAAACCTGATTTGGGAGAAATAAGACTTGGGGGTGGAAGACACAGCCAAGGGCCTCAAAACGTAAAACACCACAGTGTCTTCAGAGATTGGCAGTCCTGTGTGCGTATGGAAAAGGAGAAGGTGACAGGGAGGCAGGAGGCAGATGATGCTGGAGCCAGTGTACAGATGCAGGTGTTTGGACTTTCTCCCGAGGGTACTGGGGAGCCATAGTGTGTTAAGGAGTGAAGGTCAAATTTGCATGCAGGTGATTTGGAAGTATCAGGGTTACTGGGCCTACCTGTTGGAAGAGTCCTTTGCTGAGTGTCCTGTTTGTCCCCATCTGCAGTTCGCACTCCTCTCTGAAGTGAGAGGCACCATCTCCCCGCAAGACCTGGACCGCTTCGACCACCTGGTGCTGAGGCGGGAGATCGAGTCCATGAAGGCAAGGCAGCCACCAGGCCCCGGGGCTGGGGACACCTACTCTGTGGTTTCCTACAGTGACACGGGCTCATCCACTGGAAGCCACGGCACCTCCACCACTGTCAGCTCGGCCAGGGTGAGCTGCCTGGGCCCTGTCCCTGGCTCCCTGGCTTGAAGGTCAGGGAAGAGTGAACACACGACTTTGGAGTGAGACCAGTCGGTGTGGGATCCCAGCCCCAACCTTCCCATCTCCTTCCTTGCCTCTCTGAGCCTCAGTCTCTTCATCTCTAGTCACCTAATTATCGAGTACCTACTGTGTGCAAGGCAGGCAGGGGTCTAGGGGTTGGCTGGTTATGTATGGGGGTGGACAAATACATGCATAATTACGATCCCTGCAAGGATCAAATGAGAGGCACAGCAGAGTCTGGCACCACGGTGCCTGACTTGGGCAGTCCTTTAATCGCTGGCAGTGGGCACGGCGTCCTCGAGAAGGGAGGAGTCAGGCTGGAGGCCAGGAGCCGGCATGATTCCTCTCTCCCCTCCACAAGCTCTGTTCTTACCTTTGGACATCCAGCCCTGCTCTTCCATGGGGGTGGGGGAGGCAGTGCTTCTCAAGCACCATGGCTCCCCTGTGCTGGACTGGGTGCTAGGAATGGGACCTCATTCCGGGGGATCTCAGCACCTGCTCAGTGGAGGGCAGGGTGTCCAGGGCTGTGGACCAAGTGGTCAGTGGGTGTAGACGGGCGTGTGCCCCTCTTTCTTGCAGACACAACTCCCATTTGGCCTTAACTGAGCTCTAGGGCTCTGGGTTTCTGGGGATCTTCTCCTCCTGGTCCCCTCTTTCCAATCCCTCATCACCTCCATCTCCAAGAGTCCTCCTCCCTTCCGGGATGACCCAGAAGCTGCCATGACCAGACCCTCTACAGCTCTGGGCAGGCTGTAATGGAGGCTGTTTCACCGTTCTGGAAGAGCAGTTCACTTCTGGGCAGGGAGAGGCCTCTCTTCCCCCTTGCAGATGCAAGTCAGGCTCTGATCAGCACCTGGCTGTGGGCTGAGTGGTGAGCTAGATTCAGACTATCGGCCTCTACCTCCCGGGCCTTATGCCTCTGGGTTCAGCTGTGGCTGAGACTGGCCTTGAAAAGGTCCATGGGAAGCTTCAGGAGCCATAAGCCGGAGCGCTAAAACTTGACTGGCTGCAGGCTGTGGTTCTGGGATGGTCCCTTCAGAATCAGGAGCCAGCTCCAGAGTGGAAAGTGAGGGTGTCTCCTTCCCTGGGAGGCTGATCTGGGTTTAACCCTGGCCTCCCTGGGCCTCAGTTTCCCCATGGATAAATGGCCTGAAGATCTGCTGGCTCTGGCTACAGCAGCCCAGGGCCCTGGGACAGGTCAGACTGGAGGACCGGAGGAAGCAGGGTGACCGCTGTGCCCAGAAAGATCGCTGCAGGGTCAGAAGCCCCCAGCCCCAGTTCACAACTGGCCCAAATGACCTTGTTCCGGCCAGGAGTGTCTCCCCTGCCCAAGAAACACTTCCTCAGGGTGCTCCCGGCCCCCGCTGTGGCAGGTGTGACCCCACGCTGCCAGAGGGTCTCGGTACAAATGAGAGCACCCGAAGATGGCAGAGCTCAGGCCACCAGCAGATGGCTTCAAGCAGGGAGATTTTGAGGGCAGATGGAACAAGTGGTCCTAAAGCCCTCCCTCGGTGTCTGGGATGGGACAACTCTGAGCGACTTTTTATGAGTCTGACAGGCCAGGAATCTCATGCTTAACAGGGTGAGCTCCATCCAGGGCTGCGGCAGGGGATTTCTAGAGAAAACCACGCAGGTGGAGAGGCAGCTGCAAAGTCACCTCGCCTCTCAGTGCCTCAGTTTCCTCCCATACAAAGGGGTTGTGACACCACGTCCCCAGACACTTGAGAAGAGAGAGCATGCCCATCAGCCTGGGACCAGAGACTGCCAGTGCCAGCATTCTGGGGCTGTCTTCTCCCTCTGTAGAGCAGGGAAGCCTTGGTTCCTTCGGACCCACCCTGTCCTTGCCAAAAAAGCACCTGCTTCATGCCCAGGTCATCATGGACACTTGTAGGCTCTGGAAAGGATAGGCTAAGGGCTGGCCTCTTCCCCTTGACCTTCAGCCTCTCCCTGAAGTCTGTGCCAGACTGCAGATTCTCTGCCAGTGCAGGGCTCGGTCTTCTTGAAGTCTCAGCCTCCTCTGCCCAAGTCTCCTAGGCAGGGCGCTCCTTGAAGCTCCACCTCTCACGAGGATGTGCGACCTTGGACATGGCACTTGCCTGCTCCCAGCCTGTTTGGGGCCTTCCCTGGTCCTCTCCCTCCTTCATTCCTGTTCCTGCCCAGAGCGGTCAGGCTGGCTTGAAAAAGGAGTTGGAGTCTCCTGCTCATTTTGCACCTGTGTGTGTATGTATGTGTGTGTGTGTTTAGAGAGGGGTTGTTGCTGTGGCCACTTAATTCCCTCAAGTTTATTTGATGTATTTTCTTTTTGCCTTTTCCGCCCACCCCCTGCCACCCCCAGGAGCGGCTGCTGTGGCTTATAGACCTGATGGAGGTACCGTCCTTTCTGCAGGGTGGGACTGTGTGTGCCCCGGGATTCTTTAGCCAGGGCAGAGCCGGGGATCGTACCCCTCCCTGCCATCCCTCACATCTGCATCTGTCCCCGGTGGGGACTGGGTTTTCTTCTCCTGCTCACTGTCAACCAGTTCATCAGGTGTCCTCAGGCTCTGGGGCGAGGAAGCCCACTGTTCAGATCCCAACTCTGTTCCTTCCTTGCTGTGTGATCTCGAAGTAGTTTCCCCTCTCTGAGCTCATCTTTAGGATCTGTAAAGGTGTGGAGATCATTTCTGTGCCCTGCTCCTGAGAGCCTTCTCAGCCTTTGCACAGACCACACATTCTGTCTGTCAGGCCTGTTGTCCTTCCTGCTTCCGTCGCCTGTGGGCCCAGCAGCCCATATCTCAGGGGCCACTTCCTCCAGGAAGCCTCCCCTGACCCTCTCAAGTGCAGCCCTCCGACCCCAGGCTCCTCCAGGCCAGGCTTACATCCATCATGGCCTCTTGTCTCAGAGCATCCTCATCATCTCTAGGCTGTGCAGTCACCCGCTGGACCACCAGCTGCTCAGGGAAGCAGCCATGTCTGCAACTCCTGTCCTTTGTGCCCAGCACAAAGCCTGGTATCTTAATGCTTTTCAGCCATCTCTTCTGTGGCCCTCCCAGGAGCTACAGGCGGCCATTAGAGCTGCAGCCCCCATTTTACAGAGAAGGAAACTAATGCTCAGAGGGGAGATGCAACTTGTCTAAGGTCACACAGCAAGTGAGAGGTGGAGCTGAGACTGGGAACCCAGCCTGGTGGACTCTGAGTGGTGATGTGAGCCCTGCTGTCTGCTGTGGTTCTTCCTTGCTGGGCATCACTTAGCATCCATCTGTCTGTCCTGTCATCTCTCTCCTCCCTTCCTCTTCCTCTTCTTTCCCTTCTGTTACAAATTGTGTACGAGTCCTGGCCATGTGCTAGGTGTTGGGATACAGGGTAACAAGCAAGGTGGAGCTCAGAAGGGAGCAGCAATGCTAGGCAAGAGTGCTTCCAAGAATGCAGTCTGTGGTGGCCCCTGCAGGCCTGGGCAGTGGCACCGTCCCCTCCAACTGCTACACACACACCCTGTGCTCCCAGGCCACCTGCTCATGGGGCCATGGGACAGATGCCCCTCCACTCGGAAGCCCCTCCTGCAGCTCACCTGGTCCTGGGAGTCCAGAGCCTCCCACCCTGGTCTGCTCTGTCCCAAGGCACAGTACGCACCCTCAGGAAAACCCCCACCTTGCCTCAGTCTCCCACCTGCCCAAACAAGGCAGGTCACCAGGATTCCTTTCATTCCGCATCTTCTTGAACCATGCCTGGAAAATATTTAGGGCGGCACAGCAAAGAATGGCAACTGTGCCCTGGGAGCTCTGTGCATGTGACCCAGGGCTGCAGCGTTCCTCCAAGGAGAGAAAGAGGCAGAGACGACACTCATTTCCCACTGAGTGCCAGGTGCTGTTCTGCAGCCCTACCACGCATTCCTGAGCTTGGGCTGCAGTAATGCCAAGTAACAAACAGCACCAAATCTCAGCAGAGCACGGCCGAACACATTGCTTTCTGCTGTCCCAAGTCCCTCTCCGCTTAGCTCACTTGTTTTTCCAATCTCCATTAACACACCCGCCGACTTATTTTACCTTCAGCATCAGTTTCTGTCTGCGCTAATGAGGGTGAGCTGTGGGGGACAAGAGAAAGTACCTGTTTCCTGTCTGCATCCTCGGTGCTGGCCCAGGCACCCAGAGGAGCCCAGGAAATGTAGACAAGAAACTAAACGGAAGCCACTCCCACAGGCACCTGCAGGGTTATCTTCTCAACATTTCCCTCCTACACCAGAGAAAGTGCCCTTTGCTCTGGCCTCCAGACACACAGGCGGCATCGGGCACCGGGCCCCCATGACCCAGAAGCCCAGACATTGCCCCAGATGGAACCAGTTTCCCTTGAGCCCCAGTTCTGGGCCCTGTGCAGGGATCCGTCCCAGGTCCAGCGTGACTCTCTCTGCAGCCATGTTCCCTCAGTGCAGTCAGTCAAAGGAAATCTGATGCTCCCGAAGACAGACCGCACTTGCTTCCCATTGGTCTGAGAGTCAGCCTCGATCATTTTTGGCTGCCTGCAAGCAATCTCATTTTCCCCCATAAAGATGTTGGCCAGGAGAGCAGAGTGAGGAAGGGCTGTAGGCATTTCTGGAATTCTTCATCTAATACAAGCAGCCCGTGACAGAGGGGCTTCACCACACGGGCTTTGGAGTTCAGCCAACCGGGTCACCTTAGGCAGGTGACTTGAGCCTTCTGAGCCTCAGTTTCTACATCTCTGTGTAGGCCGGGGAGACCAGGTGCCTGTGAGTTGTTCAGCAAGAGCAGGTGGATCTGCAGGTGTGGACCGTGCACAGTTGAATTGCAGGTCTAGAGCTGGGTCCCACTGAAGAGGGCTGGAGAGGAAAGGGAGTCCACAGAGCAGTAGGACCGGCCCTGGCGTTGACCTCAGGCTTTCCCACCCTGACTCCAGAGCTTCTGTCCACAATATCCTGCCCCCAAAGGCCTCAAAATCCCGCTCCCCTTCTGTGCCCAGCCAGGTTGCATCAGCTTCCTCTCTGGCTTGGGCACAGCCAGGATGCTGGAGCTTAGACTGAGGGCCTCTGCCCCGCTACCTTCCCACTGTGGTCCAGCCTGCCTAGGGCAGGGTGAAACCCATCCAGCCATCTATCATGGGAGCTTGTGTTGAGTGAGTCCTCCCTGCTGGGCATGAGCCTGACCCTTGGAGTTTAGCGTGTCCAGTGCAGGAGGCCGTCTCTAATAAAGCAGTCTACCACATTCACTTCAGTCCTGCAAAGGGTGGGGGACCGCAGGAGACTGGAGCATCCGGGAGAAATGTGCAAACTCAAATCCATAGTGTGGCGTCTGCCAGGCAGCAGTGAGGTGGAGACCGTGCAGGAGCGGGAGTGGAGCTGGGGGCCCGCAGCCACTGGGAGCAGTGAAGGAGTCAGTGTTGAGAGTGATGGAGGACGGGTGAGGGGAAGGCGGGCACCTGAGCTTAACTCTAATGCAGTAACGCTCCGAGCACCAAACGCCATCCCGTTTGGCTCTAAGGTGCCTCCCTGTGTGTGCTGTGGGGCCAGGAGGAGGACGGGGAGACCCAAGGGACTGCTGTCCAGATCCTCAGATAGATAGCCCTACCCACCATCCCAGGAAGCTGCCAAGTGTCCTGAAGGGCCACTTGGAGGCTGGAGTGCTCCCCACCCCTTGAGTAGAGCAGCTCACTGTACCCCAGGGAGCCTCAGCACCCGCACCTTCAGAGCTGTATTTCCCCAGGGCATTAGGGGCCCCTGGGGTGGGCGTGCTTTACCTCAGCCACGTCTGAAGGGGGCATTGTCCCAGCTTGTGCTTTGCTTCATCTACCTCCCACCTGCCTCCCGCCCTAGGACTGGGGCGCTGGAGATGTTTCCACCAGACAAGGCTTCTGGAGGCTGGGAACCCCAGGGGCCTCTTCCCAGAAGACACTTCTACCTATTTAAAAACAAAATACACGGGACAACCAAGGCAGCAACTGCATGGTAAAATCCCATTTTCAGACTACGGAAGCTTACAGTAAAACATGCTGCTTTCCTTGTTTCCGGCTCTGGTGACAAAGTAGAGCTCCAGGTCAGTAGCCACTGTCATTGCCAATTGTGGCATCTACAGCAACTGGGATGCGATAGGAGAGGTCGGCCGTTTCTCTCGGGGACTGGCTGAGCTGCTGAGGCAGTTACTGAGCATGAAAGTGGACTTTTGTCTCCTGGCTGGGCCCTTGGGTCCCTGTGTGACCTGCTGGAGCCTTGTTTCTCACGCCTGTCCTAGGGTTCTTCCAGCTCCTCCTAACCTCCTGAGGATTCAGGTCAGGCTTTTCTTCCCTGGGGAAGGAGAGACAGGGGCATCTTTCCGCTTAACAGAAGGGAGCAAGACCTGGGTAACTGTCACAGGCACACGGAGATGTGGCTCCCCTGCCTCTGTCTTCTCTTCAGAATCCTTCCCTTCCCTTTCTGCCATCTTCTTATGCTTTTCCACCTGCTATCCATCCCCTCTCTGTCCCTTGTCAGTAGCCCCTTTGGGCAGAAGTCTGGGCCTGGTGACCTTTGGGAAGCTTCTGTGACTCAGTGCCTCCGTTTCTGCACGTAGGAGACAGGAAGGGGCTTCCTGCCTCAGGTCCCAGGTGCATTCTGGGGTAGGAGTCGAGAGCTGGTTGACCTGACAGGAGAGTAATGAAGCTAGAAGAACAAAGAGCTGAAAATAGCCCTTTACGTAAGCATCCTCCATCCGTCCTGGAGCTGGGACCATGCTGGGGAGCAGAGGGGCCCCATTCTGCTGAGGCTCTGGGCACCCACAGCTCCTGGGCCTGGACACCCTCCAGGCCTCACCTGTGTGTTTCCAGGATCCCTGCTGTTCTGCTCACTTTGTCCCCTCTCTCTTGCCCCAAACCAGATTTTTGTGACTCTGCACCCAGACTGGGCCGACTCAGACTATAGATAAGGGGCTCTTTCCTCCACAGGAAAGGACTGTACTGCATGGCATGCCCGGCTGGAAAGAAGGGGATGATGTCAGCAGGCCCGGAAGGCATCCTGGCCTCGTGGGAAGTGGGGTTTCTGTCTGGGATACTGAGTCAGGCCTTGAAGAGAGACTAGAGAGAATCGCTTGGTGTCCTGCCCTATCCTCCTGTGTGCCCTTGGGCTGGTGACATTCTGTCTCTGAGACTCGGCCACCCAGTTGTAGAGGGGGTGAAGGGTCTCACCTGGGAGGATCACTTGACTCCTGGGGGGGCAGGAGGTGACCAGGACGAGCAGACGTGCACCCTGATCTTGGGCCTCTCCAGAAGCCTGCCTTCGAGCTGTTCTGCTGATGCATCCCCAGGCCTGAATCCAACCACTGCCTATAGCTTTTTTGGATGTGTGAGGATCGGACTTCTGAGGGCCTGGACCATCAGGCAGATGGAGTCTGGCAGGGCTCTGGCCATCTGCCTGCTCCACTTTAGCCACGTGTCCACCCCTCTCCCTCTCCTCCAGCCCCACCTTCTGTCCCAACTCCAGAGAGTGAGGCTGAGGCCCAAGGCCAGCAATGGCCACCTTCTCACTCATGCCAGAGGGCCTCTGGCTCCTGGGATTTCAGGGCACCGTCCGGTTCCTGGGTAGGGCAGGGCAGAGCAGGATGGGCTTTGGTGTGACCCTGACCTGGCTTGGAAACCCGATCTGCTGTACAATGGCTGTGTGACCTTGAACCAGTCACTTCCCTCTCTAAGCTTTGGTGGCAGCAGATGTGACGGGGAAATTCACAGGCTCTGCTCTCGGGTCGTTGGGGGTCCCTGCGATGGTGAAGGTGGAGCCCCCAACATGGCCCTCCGGAGCTCCTAGCTCTCTAATGCGCTTTCCAGGAGAAAGTCACACCCTCCCAGAGCTCCCAGGAAGTGTTTACTGAGTGACTAACAAATGTTCAAAGCTCCTACAGCACTAGAGCAGGGGTAACCTGTCTGGCTTCAGCAGAGCATTGTCATCTGTCATCTGAGCCTCCCCCAGGGCCGCCTGCAGGGTGAATCCAGGAGCAGGGTTGCAGCTGCTCTTGTCCTTGCTGAAGATGTCTCCTGTGGAAGCCAGGGCCATAGCTGTTGAGTCTTGGGAAAGGCTTGCTGGAGCCGCCTGGCCGGACTCACTGGCCACTCTCATCCAGGGAGCAGCACACTCAAGAGGGCTTGGAGGACCGGCATGGGCGAAGGCAGATTTGCAAGGCTTCTGTTGAGTGTCACGCTTGCCTTCCCCCTGCATGACTCCAGGCGAGGGCCGTCTGGGTGCTAACACGTCCCCTGCACAAGGCAGGTGCTGCTGTCACCCCATTTCACAGATGAGGAAACTGAGGATGGAGAGGTTCAGTAATTTGCCCACCCAGCTGTAACTGTGTGTGATCGTAAAGAAACCTCCAAGGTGGCAAAGGCAGGGCTGGTGTCACTGGACAAGAGGGCCAAGTGTCTTGTTGGGGAGGTGTTTGTCACTGGCCCTGGAGCCGTGGGCCCTCTGCCTGCCCTGGGATTTGCTGGCCTCAGGTTGATCAGCAGAGAGGGCAATCTGTGTGCTAGGCCCTGCTTCGGGCTGTGGAGTCAGGGAGCCTATGCTCCCACCCCCTGGACCATGTGAATGTCCCCCCGCCATGACTGTGGCCCCACCCACGAAGGCCCCCTCCCGCTTCCACCTCCCTCACAGTTCTGGCTATGGCTGGATTCCCTCACCCACTGACTCATGAATGTGCCTAATAGACATTCACTGAGCAACCACTGTTCCGAGTGGAGACCCAGTGGTCACAAGTCCTGCCTTCTCAGAGTTTCTGTCCTAGTTGGAGAGATAGTAAAGTTGGGCTGTGATAAACATTACACAGAAAAACATAGCAAGCTTGGGATAGATGGGGCTGTGGGGGCAATGCTGTCACAGATGGGGCCAGTCTAGGAGGGCCTTGTGAAGGAAGAACTAAACAAAGTGGGGGAAGGAGCCATAATCATGGTGCAGCTAGAGAGAGCAGCAAGTGCAAAGGTCCTGAGGTGGGAACAATCCCCTTGTGCCAGAGGAATAGTGAGAAAGGGTGCAGTTGTGTGAAGTGTGGAATTTCCTCCAAGCAAGATGGAAAGGTCCCAGGGTCACAGACTGGGGAGAGGTGTGACCTGATGAGGTTTTCAGAATGTAGCTGGCTGCTGGCTGGAGCATGGTGGTCATGGGAAAGAGACAGGAAAGCAGGGCAGGGGTGGAGGTGGGGTTGTGATTTTCCATGGGATGGTCAGGTAGTCCGAGAGGAGGACCTGGAAGGCGAGCCAGCAGAGCCTGCCTTGTGCATGGGTGGGTCGTGGATCAGGAGGCAGAGGCAGCAGCCAATAGCAAGAGGGGGTGGAGCAAAAGGACTCTGCATAGAAGGCAAAGGTGACCTTATCTCCATTGCAACCCACCACCCTCAGGATCAAGCCCAGGCTTCTCTCCTATGGAGCTGACAGCTGCCCGGCAGATTCTCCCTCCTGCCTCACCTGCACTTTTCTGTGTCTGAAATACCCACCTTGCCCTTCGTGCCCTGTTCACCTGCATGACACAGCTTTGAGCTGCACCACCTCTTCCAGGAAGCCTCCCTGGACCGCCCCAACCCTAGGCATACGATGCCTAGTGCCTGCGCGTTGCCCCCTCTGCAGTCTCCTCCTGACCCCTCTGTCTCCAAACTCCTGACAGCAGGATGATGTCTCACCTCCGCTTTGTCCCCAGCCCCTTCGGTCAGGAGCTTCAGAGACTCAGTGTTGAGGGCTCACCCGAGCCCTGAGTCAAGTGGCTGTGTTAGTCTTGGTTCCCCATAGAAACAGGACTAGCAGGATATACACAGCTACGCAAAAGACTTCCTGTGCGGGCTGAGAAGTCAGGACCATGATCTGTCATCAGCAGGCTGGGGCTGGGGAGAGCTGGTGACCTTGTTCCAGGATGAGTCTGAAGGCAGGAGACCCAGGAGAGCTGAGGGAGTGCTGTCTTAGTCACTTTCTCATCACTGGGACTCAATGCCCAACACCCGCACCTTGAAGGACAGAGGTTTATTTCGACTCACAGTTTGTAAAGGTTGTAGTCCATGGTTGGCTGACTGCACAGGAGAAGGCATGGCAGACTGGAAGCAGAGAGAGTGAAAGGAGGGGTGGGGAAAGGAGATAAAACCCTTCTAGGCCATGCCCCCCAGTGACCACCTCTTCAGGCCAGAACCCACCTCCTAATAGCAAGTCAACTATAGAGCTCCATACTCCAACACCACCTCCCAAAGTCCCACCTGTGAGCACACGAGGCTTTGAGGGGACGTAAAGACATAAACCATAACAAAGACAGTAAAGATGGCTCAGTGGAAGGGCTTGATAAGCATGTTCAAGGCCTTGGGTTCCATGCCCAGCACTGCAAAAACAAAAAAGCGACCCCTGAGAACAGGAGAAAATGGCCACCCCGGCACCAGAGAGCTCAACTTGCCCTTCTTCCACCATTTTATTCCATGGGGGCCCCCACATTGAGGAGGGTGACGATCACTCAGCCTTCACACTCAAATGCTCATCTCTTCCAGAAGCACCCCATGAACACACCCAGAAATATTTACCAGCTCTCTGGGCTGGTAAAGCTGAGATCAGTGGCAGAGGCCAACTGCCATCCTAGGCTCTGTGGGGTGGACAGAAATGGCTGCCTGAGCCCTCATGAGAGCCCAGCTCAGGCAGGAGCTCACTTCCGCCACCCAGAGAGGACGTTTTGCAGGAAGATGTCTCTTGAGGGAGCATTGGGGAAGGAAGGAGGAACTGAACATTTTTTTAAAAAATAAGGCCCAATTATATTTTAAGCCAACCCTTCAGGATTAAAGCTACTAGGAGTGGAGGGGTGTTCCCTGCCATTTCCCACTCGCGTGACCTCCTTTGCACTCCTGAGGTTCTGTTGCACTGTGGAGAGCGAGTGCCTGGGCTGGGGAGACATTGAGTCCGTTCAGCCCAGCACTACAACACTGAAGGCTGGGCCCAGGACACCTAGTCAAGCCCAAGACACCCCCGGCATCTCCAGGTACTTCAGGGCAGGCCTGAAAATGATCAGAAAGTCTCAAAGGAAAACTGACTTCTATGGGCAGAAAAGTTAGTTTTAATGGGTAAAAGTCAACAGAGCAGAGCATGTCAAATGTCACAAGGCCTCGCTGATTTGGCTGCACTGGAGGAGAGACTGGCCGTCCCCTCTCCTGTTTGTTCAGCTTGTTCTCCTGTCTGTTTCCAGAACACCCTGGACCTGGAGGAAACTGGTGAGGCCGTGCAGGGTGGGGCCAACGCCCTCCCCGACGTGTCCGTGGTAAGGCCCTGCCGGCCCCCGAGTGGTGCCCTGCCCTGCCTGGGTGGCTCAGGCGACCCCTGAGCTCCTCTTGGAAGGAGACACAGGATAGTGGAGAGGACAGGCCCACCTGCAGGCCTGCACACTGCCACACTGCCACCTTCCACGGGCCTGACTGGTTCCCTCCGGGTGACTTAAGTGGGGCTAAGTGGGTTCCGACTTTTGGTGTGCTACCTGAACCCTGACACAGCAAGCACAGACATCTGGAGCCACGAGAACACCCCCGCCAAGAGGCCACAGGCCTCGGCAGGATGTGCACGCTAGATACGCTGCAGAGTGATTCTGACCCTCATGGCATTCGAATGAATGGCCTGAACTTGAGCCAGATTGCCTGGGTTCAAATCCCACTTCTTCCGCTGAATGTGAGGCTTTGGGTAAATCCCTGAGCCCGTCTGTGCCTCTGTTTTCTCGTCTGTAATATGGGGATGATAACAGCATACCGCCCCATGAGTTTGTGGTGATAATTTAATGACTGAAGTCAAGCATGTAGCAGAGAGCACGTGAGGCTGTCAGAGCTGAGCAAGTGTTGGGTCTCGGCTGGGCTGCGAGGAAGAGAGTCACAGACTCCTCCACTGCCCCCACTCACCTGCTGTGCACAGGGTCCTCACAGCCCCACCTTGCTGCCGGGAATACTCTCCCCACGGCCCAGAGGTGCGCTCAGAGAGTTGCTGTGCCTCGCCGAGGGCCACACAGCACCACAGCCGGGGTGTGCCTCTTCCTGTCCATCCCGGCCCCCTCCAGTCCCACCAGCTGTCCTATCTGTAGTAGCCCAGGTAATCCTCTAAGGAGAAAAGCCAAAGACTCATCCTCTTCATCCTGCTTCTAATTAAGTCCTGTTGCTTGCGACAAGCCTGGCTGATGCCAGGAACTTCAATTCCCCAAGGAGATGGGGAGGTCCCCAGAGACACCTGCCAAGATCCCAGCGCTCCTCAGCTGCGGCCCTGTTGGGGAGAAGTTTTCCACTGGGCTGTTACATTATTCAGAGCAGCGTGGTGGCCAGGAGCCGATAGAGCAGGCACTGAGTTCCAGCCGGGCCGGCACCACACGGCCGCTCCGGCCTCCCCTCTGCTGCCACCATGGGTTCTGACGCCTTCTACTCCTGTTGGGTCTCTTGGCAGGACGATGTCAGACGCCCCTCCGAGGGGCTGCCCAGCGCCAGGCCACCGCCTCCCCCGCCACCTCTGGCTCAAGGCCATGACCGCCCGCTTGGCCCGTTGAGGAAGCCTGGACAGGAGGACCCCCCCGCTCCCTCCTCCTCCTCTTCCCACTCAGGCATCGTCTTCTCCGCACCGCCACGGAACCACAGCCCACCACAGGGCACCGCACCCACCCCAGGGACTTCTCCGGCCCAGGACTCGCCCTCCTCCCCCATCTATGCCTCTGTCTCCCCTGCCAACCCTGGCTCCAAAAGACCGCTGGACGCCCACCTGGCCCTGGTCAATCAGCAGCCCATCGGGCCCTTCCCTCGGGTCCAGTCTCCGCCGCACCCAAAGAGCCCCCCTGTCGACATCCCGGGGGCTGGGGGCTGCCTCCCGACACCCTCACCCTCTGACCCGCCAGACCAGATCAGCACCAACCAACACTTCGTCACGGTGGAGGTGCACCGCCCCGACAGCGAGCCGGACGTGAACGAAGTGCGGGCCCTGCCCCAGATGCGCAGTGAGTACGCAGCCCGGCCGGCTGCTGCCCTGCTGAGTGGGCACCCTGGTGTTTACCCAGGGCCCTGCCAGCCAGACGTCCCCTGGTCAGGGTCCAGACTTAAAGCGGTTGGTCTGAGACCTGTGCTTAAACCTGCTTCTGCCACTGATGGGGTCACCTAGCCTGCTGCTGCATCTGCTGAGCCCTGGGTGGCTAGGAGGGTAGGGGGCCACCTCCAGCTCCCTCAGCCCTGGCCCCTGTGTTTACCTCACAGGAAGGGCAGGGCTGGCTTCCTTCATCCCCTATCTCCTGGGACCTTGCACAGAGTAGGTGCCGGGCCCCCGTGGGCCCTGGAGCTGTAGCCTCCCCATCCCTAGGAAGCTCCAGGCCTGAGGCTGCACGGTCAGAGGGCAGGGTGGCCACCCCAGGTGGGCCTTCCTGCCCAGGGAGTGGAGGCAATAGCCCTGGCTCTCCCAGAAAATCTGGCCATATTTCATTGGGTTCTGCTGCCATCTTGTGGCTAGAGTGGTACCTGGGCCAAGGAACAGGACCCCAGAACCAGTCATGTATCAGGCAGCCACAGGCTAGGACGCAGAAGGCTGAGTCCCCACACTAGAGGTTTGGGGAGGGCAGGCTGCTAAAGGAGAGCCCATGGGATGCAGGAGAGAAACCAGAGAGGCCAAGGAGTGGTCACTGCCACCTCCAGATCCAGCACTGGGCTGCATACACTGCGAGAGAAGAGCCCAAGGCTATGCAGGAGAAGCCCTCTCTAGAGGCAGGCCCCTTCCCAGAGCCTGACTAATGTGTCTGCTTCCAGCAGCCCTGGAAGGAGGCTGCTAATGTCCTCACCATTTGCAGGCGAAGAAACTAAGCTGCAGTAAATAGTGGCAGGGCCAGGCAGCATAGCCCAGCTTGGCTCTCTTGAGCTGGTTGGGTCTGTTAGTCTGAATGCCGCCCTCTTAGATGGGCCTCACGGATCCTGCATTGGAGCAGGAGCGCCGAGGCTGAGAGAGGCTATGCTGCAGCCCACGTTTGCACAGTTGGTCCAAGGACATTTGCACTTTACCCACCAGGCTCCAGATGTACATTCTTAACCTGGAGCCCCTGATTCAGGGCGGATTGGTCACCCAGACACCCAGCTCAGGCCAGGGAGGTCACCCAGGGGTGCAGGCCAGGTATAGCAGGCATTCCTTTTCTTTCTTAGGACCCCAGAAGCTACTTTTTTAGGTGAAATCTCCTAATTTGTGTATGCTAATCCATCATTAAAAATGATCAGCATTGCATGAATTTAAAAAACAAAGCCAAGAGAAAGGGCATAAAGGTGCACACTTGTAATCCCAGCCCTTGGGAGGCTGAGGCAGGAGGATGGGAAGTTCAGAGGCAGCCTAGACTACCTAGTGAGACCCTGTCTCAAAATTAAAATAAAACAAACCTAATCACGGGGCTGGGCTGGCCTCTGATTTAATCATTATGCCAGTGGCTGAGACAGAGAAGCCAAGGCAGATGTTCTGGAAGCAGCGGCTAGGGCAGGAGGAGAGGGTGGCAAGGGGTGTCCCTGCCCTCCAGCCCCTGGGTCCCTTCGTTCCTTTTGTCCATCTATGCCTCTGAAGTCCCCCAGTCCTCCAGCCTCTGGCTCCACGGCCACCTCCAGGTAGCCCTCCCTGACTGTCCCTGCCCTCCTCTCCCCTGACCCCCAGCAGCATCCACACTCTCCCAGCTCTCTGACAGTGGGCAGACTCTGAGTGAGGACAGTGGTGTGGATGCCGGCGAGGCGGAGGCCAGTGCCCCAGGCCGAGGCAGACAGATGGCATCCACCAAGAGCAGGAGCAGTAAGGAGCTGCCGTGGAGCGAAAGGACCGCAGAGGCGGGCAACAAACCGGTGAGGAGGGCAGGAAGGGAAGCGGTGAGGGCCTGGGAGGAAGGCAGGTTCCAGGTGGAGAACAGCTGGTCCTGGGGCCCAGGGTGCAGCTCCGCGACTGACCACCAGGGGAGGTGGTGAGCCACCCATTGCTGGGGGATTTCAGCGTCCAGAAGTGCTTGGCTTCATCCCTGCCACACCAGAGCTGGGAGGGCGGCTCTGGGCTGCAGCCCGAGCCCTGTTGGCCTAGGGACTGGTCATGGCCCAGCCCAGGCTCTCAGCCAGGCCAGTCCACTGAGAAGGCCTCACCCCATAGCCTGGGCTTCTAGAGCCAACGTCCACCCTGGTCCAAGTAAAGAAGAGTGCAGCCACCCTGGGCATCGCCATTGAGGGTGGGGCCAACACACGCCAGCCGCTGCCAAGGATCGTCACAATTCAGGTACAGCTCCAGGGCACCCCTGGACCGTGTCTCTCTTCCTCCAAAGCCCCTGAAGTACCCTTGCTCAGCATGCCCAGAGGTGACACAGCACCCAAGGGCACCCTGGTGCTTGTCCCTCCCTTGTCTCATGTCCCTGAAGGGTCTGGCTGCATGGGCAGAACACCCCCCCTTCATCCTGGACCCTCAGACTGGGGAACTGAGAGGCTCACAAACCGTTCACACTGTGCAGCTGGGTGCAGTTTTGACACCAGGATGCAGCTGCCTAGCTGGCCGTGTCAGACTGCACACCACTTGGTCACCCAGGTGACCCTTGCCCTGTCCTGCTCTGCAGCGAGGGGGCTCAGCCCACAACTGTGGGCAGCTCAAGGTGGGCCACGTGATCCTGGAGGTGAATGGGCTGACGCTACGTGGCAAGGAGCACCGGGAGGCTGCCCGGATCATCGCCGAGGCCTTTAAGACCAAGGACCGCGACTACATCGACTTCCTGGTCACTGAGTTCAATGTGATGCTCTAGAGGCCAGTGCCGAGCACCTCCCACCACTGTGCAGCTCCTGGTCCCCGTCCCTTCCCTGTCCTGGCAATTTCAGGCTCCCTGAGGAGTGGGGGCTGGATGGCCAGGGTGGCAGGAAGGCACCCTCTACTCACTTTGTCCTGACCTACTGGACCAGAGTCGGGCAAGGTAGACGGCAGGTCAGAATCTGTGCCCGTACACTGTAGGCGCTTGGTATAAGGGGGCTGCAGGAAGAGGAGGGGGGTTGGACGGGGGGCTCTGCTGCCCCTTGGCCCTGATACCTGAGCCTTTGTCCAGAGTGAGGTCACAGGAGAATCCAAGGATGCAGTTTCCTGCCACGGGCCTCCTGCAGGACCTTCAGTGCCACAAATAAGCATCAAGACACCCCCACTCCCACCCCTGTTTCTCCTGGCTCCTCATCACCGTGGTATTTATTATTTATTTTCCACCCTGAACTGCGGGGACCTCAAAGCCCCAGCTTCCCTCTGCACTCCCAGCCTATCCCAGAGGCCTTGCGGGCGACCAACAACGTCCGTGTATTTATATACAGAGCTTATGACTTTAATTTTTCAATAAAGAAATCTGAACCAGGTTGGGGCTAGCGTGCTGTGTGGCCGGGTTTTTATTGCTCTGTGTAGAGAGGGAAGGGGATGGACAGGACAGATGGGGGCACCCAGAGCATTACATCATCGCCCTGGAACTCTGCACCTCACACGGTGGAGTGGGCAGGGGCACTTGAGCCTCACCTGCATCTCAGAGCTCCTTAATTAAAGGTGTGAGGGCAAAACACATACGTATGGATGATGTTTTTAGACAAAACCACATAGGTCGGTTATGGTGCAGAATGCATGTTTTAAAATGCAGTTCTCAGTTGGGCTCTGGGAAGTGATTGGGGAGGACAGTAGTTGGGGTGGAGGTGAGGCAGGCCAGGAAAGAGGAGGATCCAAAGGACTGCAGGATTTCAGGCAGAGTCCCCAGAGGACAGTGTCAGCCTCTGCCTGGGCATCTGGAGTATAAGGGAGACAAAGCTGTCTCCATTGAAAGCCAGGGCTGGGCTTGGTGTCTGTCAGTCCCTGGGAAGGCCTGAGGGGTAACCATAGATTCACAGTCTCCTGCACTTCGTCTGCTTTCGTAGGTCCAGCTGTGGGTGCAAAACTCGTGGAGAGAGCAAGAAGGAGAAGGTGGCAAGATGGTCTACCATATGGCCTCGGGCCAGCTCCAGGGCACCTTTCCTTTCATCCCCAGGATTTGTCTGTGGGAAAAGTGTTTGAGAAATCCTGCTTTGCCCAGCTCTGTGCCAGGGGTCTGCCTGATGTGGACAAGGGGTTGTGGGCCCCATGGTCTGTGGTTCAGGATGCTATATGCTGTCCCTATTCCCTTCCAGCCCAGGCAGACTGCCGAGGCCAAAGAGGCAGCTTGAAGGCCCCAGCCCCTCTCAAGGAGTTGTTTCCTCCTCCCTCCCAGATCCTCAGGGTCTCCTAGAGCTGTGGGGACTAAGCCCCTCCTTGCTTCAGGAGTGGGGGGTGTCCTTGGGGCTCTGATCTCCCAGCTTTCACCTCCAGTCCAAGTCCTGTGTGGTCCCAGGCAGGTGATTTCACCCCAGGTCAAGCTCCTCACCTGTAAAATGCATATGATGGGCTGAATAGGCCCCCCAGATAACCAGTAAAAAGGCCAACAAATGGCTGTAGGTTCACCCTGGGGAAATGATTCCTCCGGATGTGATCCTAATGAGAGGAGGAGCTGCCTGGCCTTGGGAATGCTGCACCTTTCCCCGAGCCAGAGTCCTTGCCCATCTGTTCTGAAAGGAGCTTTTGCACTGTCACTGCTGTGGTTGTCACTGACCTATACTTTTACCTCTGCTCTGTGTCTCCACTTGGCCTGCTTGGCCCAGCGCCTGGGGGACAGACAGCCCCAGAGCTCCCTGTCTGCACTGAGGCAGAGCAGGACAAGACTGACTTTCAGGAACTTCCTGCCTGGAGGACAGACTGAGCTGATGAGCGCCTGGGGCAAGTTGCTTCCTGCCTCTCTGCAGAGCCTGTTGACTCTCCGGCGCCTGTGGGCTCTCCTGTGTTAACAGGGCTTGTGGAAGTGCTTATTACATTAGTTCCATTGATGTATTTCTTTGGGCTTCAGCAAACCCAGGCGGTAGGGGTTATGGTTCCTTTCAGCCACTGCTTGACTTTGGACCAAAGTTCCCTCTCCGGTCTGTGTTTCCAGGATCATCTCCCGGGGATTAAGACTGGAACACAATGGGGGTGGGGGTGTGACACCCTGCTACGGCATAGGAGAGAATTGAAATCGTCACACGTACAACACAGCCAGACTCCTACCGAGTGCCCACGACAAGTTCATTGTCCTTGTCACTAAGCCGTCCGTTTCACTGGTAAAAATGTGTGATTTCTTCCTCACGGTGGTTCTGTTACACCATGCACAAATACCTTACCCTCTGGGCCTCAGTTTCCCATCAGCGGTAGAACGGATTCCAGTAGGAAGATGCAGCCAGGCAGATGTGAGATTTTCTTTCCTAGAACCTGGGAGCCCGCTCTCTCGCTTCCGAGTCTCGAGAGGCGGGGCCCAGGAGGCTGCCTCCCTACGATTGGTTGGGGCTCCCCTAGGACCCGCCCCCCCAGGACCCGCCCTCGCAGCCTCTGGCTGGCCTCGCGTATTATGCAAAGCAGCAGCCACCCGCCCTGCGCGCCTATTGGTGGCCTTTGTTTGCCACTCAACTCCAGGAAAGCACTAACGCGCCACTGCCAGCAGGTGAGCCCGGGAGGGTCTCGTGGGGGTTCCCCGCGCAGCTCTCGGTCTGGAGAATAGGGAGGGAGATCGGACAGTTCCGCTGGGCTCGCCTTTCTAGGGACAGCGCTGCTTTGGGTCTCTCCCACGTGGAGACTCCATGCGCAAGAGTGAGGGACAGATTGCGGCTCCGGGAAAGGGAGGGAGCCCGGAACCTGCGATCAGGGCGTGAGTCCAGACCGGCTCGCTGCGGTCTCCGCCCCACCCCAGACCTCAGTCTCCACCTCCGCGTAATGGGGGCGTCGGCTCCTTTCCCCGTTCCAACTGGGCTGGGTCCCTGGGAAGGCAGGGGTCCCCGGAGAGCGCGGGGTGGTCCTTGGCTGAGCCGCGGGCTGTGTTTGCACTGGAGGCGTGGCCCCCGTTGCTGCGGTGACTGGGGAGGTGGGGCTTTTCCGGGGCTGGGATTTGTGCGCGGTTTGTTCACCTGGCAACAACCCGAGCAGCCTGGCAGCCCTGAGCCGCGCGTACTCCCCGGACACCTAACGCAAGTTTCTTTTCTTCTTTTTTAGCAGTGGGGAGGGAGATAGACAAAGGCCAGCGTGGGGCGGGCAGCCTCGGCAGTGGTAGGAACTGGAACAAGTTGCAAAAATGAGGCCAGTCTCCTTCTTGGTACACAGAAGACAAATCCAGAGAGGCTGCGTGGTTTACCCAAGGGCGCACAGCAGGAAGGGCGGAGCGGGTATCTCACCAGCGTGATGTGGGTGGCACTGGCAGAGATGGTACTTGCTTGCTGTTTGACCTTGGATGAGACTCTTTCTTGCAGGGCTCCTTTACCAGGCTTTATTGAAAGAAAATGACAGCATGGAGCAGATCATTATCTCTGTTTAAAGACCTTCTGCTTCTGAGTGAGACAGTTGAGGAAAGCTGCTGAGAACAGCTATTTTAGAGCCCAGAGAGAAGCTGAAACAGACCAGACCAGGCGCAATAAAAAGTGACATTGTTTCTGTCCTCTAGATCAGGAGAAGATACGGGCTGGCACTGAAGCACGAGAGGCTAAGGTTAGACACATACAGGGACTTCCCAGGATTTCCCCAGGTGCCCCCCTCTGCAGTTGGTGTGTTTCTGTCTTGGCTGTTTTGTTAAGGAAACAGAACAGCTGCCCACGGCTTTGAGGAGGCATGAGCCTGGTTTACTTACCGACAGGGGGCGCTTGGTCTTTTGGGGCAGCCTGTGTGGTTCCTTCCCAGGGGCCATCTCAATTCTTCCAGAGGGGGGAGGTGCCCACGTGGGCCCTTTGCCTCCCCACACCAGCTGGTTTGCATTTGAAACATGTGATCCTCTTGCTAGGGGATTTCATCAGTTCCCACAAGGCCGGATTGGGGTTTCCAGAGCCTGGGAGCCCTAGAGCTGCGAGGGGGTTTTGGGAACTGGTACACTGTGTCCCATGTGCCCCCTCGACGGGGAGAAGGAGCAGGCAAAGCCTCCGTGAGCCAGCTGCGTGCCAGGTCCTCCTGGTGTCGGGTGTGAGTGCCTCCATTTTCCTGCCTGTCAGATGGGCGTGGCAGTGCTAGATGGCATCACCCTAAGCCACTCAGGCATATTCTCAGTTTAGAGATGAGAAAGCAGACGCCCAGAGGAAGGGAAGAATAACAACACAGCAGTGATAATAACCCCCTGATAGTAAGAGCCGAGGTGTATTGAGTGCTGTCTCCCAGGGGTTTTACTGCAAGGTGTGCAGTCCCTTGAGCAAGCGTTCTCACCTGTTCTGTCACCTCTGCCATCTCCAGTTCCTGGCACAGAGCCCTACTCAATGCTACCCCTTGGTCTCATGACATTGCCATGAGATGGACTTTATTGTCGGCTCCATTTGACAGATGAGAAGCCTGAGATTCAAAGAGATTATATCACTTGCCTAAAACTACACAGCTCTCTTCAATGGGCTGACCTGGCCCTTACCTTGGAACACACAGGAACGGGAGAGTTGATTGTGCCCATCTCTTCCCAGTCGGTATAGGCCTCAGACTGGGGCTTTGTCCTGTCTTTTTCTTCTTTTTTTCAAAGAGAGCAGCATGTGAAGGGTCCTGGGGGACAGCAGCCAGCCTTGCTTCTATAGGGGCCCAGAGCCGCATTCCTGGGGGCGGATCAGAAAGGCCCAAACCCCAGGGCAGCAGGGCTTGGGGCGGCACCAGCCTTTGCTAGGCTCCCAGCCCCCACCCCACCCCCACGGGCTTGAGTGCAGCAGCCCTGAGTCAGGGACAAGCTGGAATGAGCCCCGGCTCCAGCCCAGGCTGTCCGGTCCTTCTCTTCCAAGGATGGGAGCTGTGGGGCTGTCCTTTTACGGGAGAAAGGCCTGACCAAGGGTGAGCTTCCGCCAGGCCACCAGGTGGAGGCACATGACAGCCCTGGCTGTGAGCTGGGTGCAGAACTTCCTTCCTGGACTGCAGGAGGCTTGGCCTCAGGCTCTAGGTGAGGCTGTCTGAGGTTCTGAAACAAACTTCCAAGGTCTGATCTGCATCTGGGACCAGGGCCCCAGCCCAAAGCCTCACGTTTTCACCCTCTCTCCTCCGTCCAGCCTGCAGTTCCATCTTGGCCCTGTCTCCCCTCCAGGTGTCTTCCCAAGCAGGACGTGATCCTCCCTCTGCTCCCACCCCAGACCTCAGCTCCTTGTCTAGCCCCTGCTGAGCCTGTTCTTGGGGAGGCTCAAATTCAAAACCAACACGGTCAGCCTCCTCGAGGTGCTGGGACTATAGCCAGGGGCCTAGGCCTGGGTGGAAGGTTCAGGGTCCAGGAGGCCCTGCTGAGCGCTCCAAGGAAGGGATATATTTGGAAAGTAATGCATTATTTGTGGGTGTAGACCCAGCTCTTCTCCTAAATTGCTGTGTGACTTCAGGCAAGTTGTGTAACCTCTCTGAGCTCATACTCCTCTGTTAAATGCCCGATGATTCATGAGGGTCCAATTCAACAGCACAAGCCAGGCACCTAAATGCTAAGCGTGTCCCAGGCTGGGCGCCACTCGCTTCCTCTCCTTCTGGTGATTTTCACATGTTGCACAACAGCTGTATGTGCAGCAAACAACATGCAGTGCCGGGCGTTCCTGAGTAAGGAGTCACGGAAGGTCACCATGGCGGGCAGCGGGGGCCCTGAGAGCACAGCACTCCTGCAGTGGTCGTGGTGGACACATGGAGGAGGGACCTGCCCCGTCCCCCTAGAGAAGGAGGCCCTGCGCAGACGGGAGGTGGTGTGCGTGTGCTTGTGTGCATCTGTGTATTCAAATAGAAGAAAATATCCATCTCATGCTTGTTTTTAAAGCAGCTATTCTTTTTAGAAAATATACACAAGGGAAAAGGGTAAACTGGCTTGTAATTCTCCTACCTAGTGATAATTATTGTAAACATTTTGGGGCATGTCTCTGTCTCATATCCTTTTCTCTTCCTATATATTTTACTGGTCTTTTTAAACTTTTATAGACTTTAATTTGATATGTATTGTTTTATAACTGGCGTGTTCACTTAACATAGCATGATTTTTGCACTGTTTTTTCTCTTCTTCTATAGCATGATTGTGACTAGATGTATGCTATTCCTTTTAGAAATATAATTAATTTGTGTTCCCTTGTTCGTGGGCATTGAGGCTATTCCCAACCTTTTCACTTACTATAATCTTCAATTGCAACATGAAGAGTGTGCTTTCTGTATTTGGACAGCCTGGTCATCCCACCTGTAAAGTCTCTACCAACTTGGATTGGTATGAGGATTGAATCCTGAGAAGTAATCCAGGAAAAGACATTTATGAGGTACTTGCCACCTATTAGGTGCTCAATAAAGTTTTACTTTAAGCAATTCATTATGAGCACATGCACTTTTTTTTTTTTAATTTGGCTTTTGGAAAAAAACATGAATTAGAGAGAGAGAGAGTTTCTCCATATGGCCACCCCGCCATAACCTACTGCTCAGTTGGCTAACATAGGCCTGTTCGTTCCCCTCCTTAACAACTCAGGGTGCATGGGGACACAGTTTCTAGCTGGGCCGGTGGCCCCAGAACTGCTTGGGGGGGTCCCAGGGAGATGGCAGCATTCCCCTACCCTGGGGAGGGCTGGCTTCCCTTTCTGACTCTGGGATCCAAAGCTAGAGCTTTGGCTGGTGTTGGGGAAACTCCAGTCAGGAAAACTATACTCTACTCTGCGGGGAGTGGTCCTTATCAGTGTTTCACTAAGGCCACAGCCATCATTCACGGGCATTTGCCGTGCCAGTTGGGCACTAGGCCAAGAACTTTATGCACATAATCTCATTTATCGTCTCAAGAAGCCTGTCACATCAGTGTCACCCTCAATTTACAGATAAGATGTCTGGGGTTCAGAGAGGTTGAACGACCTGCCCAAGGCCACACAGCTTCCCAGGGTGATCACGGAGTGCTCTGTCGGCCTACACGGCCTGTGTGGCCTGCAGCCACCCACCATCATGGCAGGGCTGCCTGCGTGGGAATAGAGAACCCAGAAGGTTTTGCATTAGAGGGTGATCTCTGATAATCTCAGAGGTCATTGCATTAAACTTCAGAGTTCCAGACCTCTAAGAAGAGAAGACTTTTGTCTCGGGTCTCCAGGCTGGCCCTTGGGTCTGCACTTCCCACGTCAGGCTCTCATCCATTCCTGGTCTACTCCTGCTCCTGACATCCTCACCCACCCCACCTCAGACTCCCGTGGGTTTAACCCCAGGGTAAGCTCAGCAACCACAGGGTGCCTGTGAAGCCTGGTGAGCTAACTGCCCCTCTGGGCTTGGGGC